GGGTTCTATGTTATGTTTGCACCAACTTGGAGATATCTGTGTCTGCATGATGCACCCATACAGTCATGGATTCACCTTGCTAAGGCCTTATTCATGCAGGACTATGGACCAGTCAGTAACCCCCACTAGTTGCTAGGGAAAAGTCTGTGCAATTTGTGAGAGGTATACGGGGCTGCACTGAAAACCTTCTTGCTTTGGTCACTAGCACTTTGTAAGGAAGACAGCAACTTGTCTGCAAACACTGGCAAAGTATTCACCAAATTCTAGTATAACTGGGTAAAGTATGATGGAAACCATAAATGGAGACTGTTCATCTTCAAAGTCAAAATTGGGCCTTTGAAATGTGTTAGTTGTAGCAGTGAGGCCCAACCTTTACTCTGAAGGTGAACAGTCTCTGTTTCCAGTTTGCATTGCACTTCTTCAATTTTCTGAACAGGTTGGAGAATAAATGGTGGATATTTGTAGACAAGCTGACGTCCTCCATGGAAACTACAGGTGACCCCAGCAAAATGCTAGTGACCAAAACAATCACAAAAAGGGCTTTGGTGCAGCACCTTTGTTAGGACCAATTTCAACTAGCAGCAGCCAACGAATTGGGCAATATACCAAATTTTTCCCTAGTGATTGGAGATTTCTAGAGGTTCACTTACTGGTCTCTAGATCTAGGTGTTTGATGCCTAACCAAGTTAATACCATGATTCAAAGTCTATTAAAGTTTCTCGAGTGACATCCTACACACATTGATCAAGAGTTGTCAGTTGTATTACACATGTTACAACCATGGTTGCTAGGGAAATGTGTTTTACCCTGACTAGATGGCAGCAGCAACAGTGGCTGTTGCTGAGAGAGATTAGTTCTGGGTCCTGGGGATAGCTTCGGTTGTTATTTCCACAGTTGCCTATAGTTTTTTCCTGTGTCTACAAACACTTGTTAACTACTAGCTGAGCAATATAAAAACTTGAAAAACTGTAACACAAACCAGAAATGAAAGAAGGTTCATCTTCAAAGTAAAAGTTGAGCCTCAGTGCTGCAGCCAACATGTTTCAATTTTTACTTTGAAGACAGATGGTCTCCATTTCTGGTTTGTGTTGCACTTTTTCAGGTTTTACTACAGCTCAGCTAGTAGTTTACAAGTGTTTGTAGACAAACATGAAAAACTTTTCACAGTTTAACTGCGGCTCAGGGACTAGCTGGCCGGTGTGTGTAGACAATTCTGCCACTTCCATTCAAACCACGATTGCAGCAGTATGCTAGTATGCTTGCCAACCAGTTGGGGAATACACATTTTTTGCTAGCAACCATTGTTTGAAAGGGGGTCACTGGCAGGTCTGTTGGCCTGCGTGACTGGGGCTTTAACAATCATTTTGCCAGCGACTGCCATCAACCTCCAGCAACTACCAATAACCAGTCAGGCAATACTAATTTTCCCCTCACGACGAAAGATTACTGGATGGTCACAGACAGTTCTCTAGGCCGGTGTGATTGGGGCCTTATTCATACCATGACTGTCACATGTCCAAAATGATAGACAAGTTAACATCAGAGGGTTAATCACATGTCTGCAAAACATCAAAAGGACTGACTTTCTTTTGGAATTAGCCTCAAGTTGTCATTTGAGCAACTGCAGTTTTTGGCACTCCCACACTGGCTTAATTTTTGAGCCCCAAAAGTTGGTAATACTTGATGACTTGTCACTGATGGTATTTATTTAACATTATCAGGAGAAAGACATTGTTTATTCATCAAACCAGTCGACTTTGGTCAATTAGCAACTTTAACATTTTGATAATGCACATAGGACAATGACAACAAAAGGTTTATGGTCTGTATGAAATAAATAGCAACTTTGCCCATTTACAGCTTGGCTGAATAAAACAAAAACAAGAGGGTTAATCTTCATATTAAAAAGGTATACAGATGAGCTGTGATACTCATGAACTCACTAATTCCTCAACAAAAATGCTCTCCTTTTTAAATAAAGCTTTTCAGTTTTAATATGTACCTTCAAGAGCCTGTTATAGTTAAATAAATAGAATGCTTTCCATTTTTAACATGCACATCCAATTTGCCTGGGGAAAGTATTTACACTTCACTGATCCTACTTGTCCACCAAATTCTCCACTTTTGTCTCAGCTAAACAGTTCTTTCTCTCATACATACACAAATGTACAGTCACTCTTGCAGACATGCTGCACCTATTTACTATTAACACAATATCTAAACCTATGGAAAGTGATCAAAATGCTAACGGTGAACATGGAATCCCATGTAGTGTGAAAGAAGAAACAGTCCAAACACCACATCTTAACTGGGGGAGGAAGGGAGGGAGGGGGGAGCTTACAAAAACTTTTTGTTTACAATTGATCATGCACTGTATAAATTCTTTGTGTTATTTGGCTTGAGAGTGTGTAATCAGTGGCTTCAATATCTACTTATTTCCTTTAAGTGAACAAAGAAAAGAGTAATATTTCCTGTGACAAATAAGCAATCCTACCAAATAATCTCTAACAATATTTAAGTCTTTCCCCCAGGAATCGTCACTGTCCTACAATAAGTGGTTTTACTATCTTTTCAGTAAGCTTCCACACATAACCAGGAGCTACTGCAAGGAGGTGTTTCTTCTGTCATGTCCATGTTAGCGTAGGTCCTGGCCATCCATCGCTCTTCAGGTTGAGATGGGCAGTTTATTCTGCGCTAATGTTAGCTTCCTCTTCTGTTTTCATGACGCAAAATAAGAGTTCTGCATGGAGTAGAGGCGGTCGATGGGGTTCCCCACGCGGGCCTGCAAGGAGTTGACTTCTGACGATGCCATGAAGCAGTCACTGAGGCTGGTTAAGGACGTGTCACTGTCTATGTCATGGAATGCAGAATCATTACCTGCAGAAAGCGGATACGGAAAAAGCCGTCAGGATTCAGAGGCAAAGGCGTCATTCAAAGAGCACAACACCCTACTCTGGCTGCGAAATCGGTGTAATCTTGTATTTGAGATTTATAGCAGCGTTGGGAAATTATAATTACTAATAGTCCCTTTGAGAAACTGCTGTTATGTGTCATCACAAATGTGAGAACTGTTTTGTTAGATATCATCAAAGCTCACTTTTTGCTGCGCTCACTGGGACAATTGCGGTCTGTGAGGGAGCATGTAAACAAGGGGCATCCTCCTAAAAGATCTGGTTAATAGCAACTGTTTACGCCTTTCATAAAACCTCAACATGTTATTTCTCTGGAGGGAATAGTTAACTTTATTACACTCTGGATCTTAATGATAGTGTTGCACAAAATGGGGACAGTGTTTTGAGACATATCTTTTAATGCCTTGCCAATATTGTTCTTTTCCCCAAACCAAAGGAGAGTGATGAGACTGGGGATTTGGTTCTTACTACCGAAGAGAACTAAATGGAGGCAAATTATAAGGAAGTTATGAACTTCAGGAAATGGTCCCTTTGGGACATGTTGAGGACATCGCTCGAAAATGTGTTATTCCAGTTACATCCTGTGGACTAACACTTGATTGACTGATTTTTTCCTTTTTCTTTTCCCCCCTCCCGCCTTTGTTTGCGCTCTAATTCCTTCCTTTATCAAACAGAAATCTGAGACTTGTTGTTTTCCAATTCTGATTCATTAGCTCACACGGTCTTCAATCATTATTTGCAGTGCATTTTATCTTAAGCTGCCCACATAGACCACATGTTTTTACCAACATTCGGAAACATCATCAGTAACGGGGCTGGGGGCAAGGAGTTAAAACCATATTAAACAGATTTGAAATTACACTTCAAAAACCCAACGGCTTATGAGAACACTTGTGTTATCTCATGTGGGAGGAGAAGCTGCTCGTTCTTCTCTGTGAGCAACTTAAATCAGGGGGCTGTGGCCTGAGCACATGTCCCACACTGGGGAGCTTTGAGGTTGATCAAGGGACAGGCATGTGTGCGCTTTGTAAGCAGCAGTGGGGTTTTTGGGGGGTGTAGTAGTGTGTGTGTGTGTGTGTGTGTGTAAGGGAGGGGTGGGGGGTGGGGTAGATGCTCACCATATGGGTTCATATGGTCCCCGGGCATCTGTGGGGGGGTGAGCCCCTGTTGGAACGGGTCTGTACTGTAACCATTCTGATCCATGGCGACCAGCTGCTGCTGCGGCGGAGCCAGCGGTGTGAAGGAGTTCATCATCCCTTCCATTCGATTAGACATCACCTCTGCAAGGCAATGAAAGCAAAGGGGCAAAGTTAATACAGCCAACAAGAAGACTTCAGATGAGTCTGCAAAATATTAAATGCCACTACGCAAACAGAGAGCCGGTGACGCTGACCAAGAGAAAACTACAGAGTAGGTACTTCCTGATAGATTCCTATTTGTACCCCAAATATGTGGATTGCTCGCCCTTGTTGGTTTTATGGAAACATACGGTAGTCCTCGCTGTGGCTTCTCTCCCATTTCCCTCTACAAACAATGCTCTTGGCTAACTGAATGTGGGACACAAAGTTCTTGTGGCTTCATCACTGGAGCCCATCCCCATTCGCTTTTCTTTATAGTGGTTAGGTGAAATGATGATGATTCATTTCATTTGGCTTCCAAACTGAATTTCCATTTTACCCTTCATGTGAAGTGCCCTTGTTTACACAGTGACATATTTGTAATTTGTAATTCAGCATCAGTAGCAAATACAGCTTTGATTAGAGCGCAGCGTAAGCGAGAGAAGAAAAGTTCCTGTTTTGAGATTAAGCAATTGGTACACCTTCTCCCTATTCCGATGTCAACATCAACAACAAACTATTGCCGCGATACAAACACTCTTGACCTACTTGGAGATATGTACAAATATCACTTTAAGCTTGAGGCTGCCGGAGACAATGGGCCTCCATTGTGTTTGCAGGGTATGTGGAGCATCGTACCTTGGCCAAGTCTTTGAGAATTCTGTTGTTCTTGTTGTTGCTGCTGTCTTCTTGCCAACTTCTTCATCTGAAACGAAGGAGTCAAAGTTGTGAGGAACTCCCAAAACTAACATGCGCTCTTTAATTTAAAAAGGATGCTCCTCGCTCTTCACCCTTGAATGAACTGCGTAAAATCTGTATCTGAGCGCACTTCATTGTCAAATATCAAAGGTTTTCACAAGATAATCATCAGAAAAGAGGAGGGCGTAGACATTTAATGCAAGAGTGAGCTAGATTTGCAGCTCCTTGCTCTTTTGCATTTGCAAAAGGAATGCAGTGATAAGTTTAACACACATAGTTGTGGTGATTTACTAGCTGAACTCTAAAATGGACCGAAGCTGCTTTTTTTGGGAGTGGGTAGGGTAAGGACACAAAATGCAATTTGTTTTGTGGTATTTGCTCTCACCTTAGCTCTCTGGTTCTGAAACCACACCTGGACCACCCGGACACTGAGTCCTGTCTCTGCAGCCAGAGTCTCCCTCACCTGAAAATCCAAACAAAATACTGTGAGCATCACACAAAAAACCGAAACGCTTCACAGCCCTCTGAAATCCCGTTCCGCCTTAACATAACTGCCACAGTTCCTAACAGCCGCACTGCTTCTTTGATTTGCTTTTAAGTCAATGCTGACTAAATGCAGTGGTCTTTTTGGACCCACTGGTTATTGCCGCTTCAAAGTTCGGACCAAGTGCAGCGCCTGTTTTAGGGCCCGGGCTATGGAGGGAGTTCTCCTATCTCAGTGTGACATTTGGTGCAGACGGAGTGCGTTACACGAGACTGCCTCAGTTAACACAGAACAGAATGCTGCTTGCCACTTCAAAGCTCAGCTTTGAGGTGGGGGAGATTTTTTTAATTTGAGAATTTTATTTGTCAAACTACTGTAGGGCTCGTGGTTCGCAGCTCAACTTCTATCTAAACCCTTACCAGGGAATTAAAAAAACATAAATCTCAGATTTTCTTTACTCAGTTGCAGCTGGTTATTAAAGCTTTGTCTTACCTTTCTGCAGGGCTTTGAAGAGACCTCAAAAGAAGCCTTAAAGGCCCGTCTCTGTTGAGTGGTCAGAATGGTTCGTGGTCTTTTGGGCCTCCTTGGATCCTTGCTGTCATCCCCCTTCCCCTGGCTCCCTATGCCTTTCTCTGGCTTGATGTCCAACTCCTCATCGTCACTTTTCTCTGTAAAGAGAATCAGTTCTCTGTATCATGAGCACAAGCTTGAACTGCCTACACCCTTATTTTTTTTGTCTATGACAGTCTGCTGATAAATATATTTTCATTCTTCCCTATTTCAAGAGATTCACACACCACAAGTGCCTAATCAAAGGAGACACATGTGTTTTTGATACATTATCAATTTATTACAAAAGGAAAAGGCCTCATGTATGATTAGACCTACAGACATCTATGGAAAGCACAGTGAAATATGCACATTTGTCACTGAACTGGACACAATGTCACTAGTAAATTATTACTCTCAGCTTTCTCTGATTTACACAGAATCAATCTCTGATAAGAGTACTACATCAAGTGCAACATGAAACAGGCAATGAGTACATATGGGAAATGCATCTCCTGCAACACAATATGTAAGATAGTCTCGATCCAAACTTAACCTTAAAATAATGACCGAATTTATACACTTTGCTAAACTTTAACTGTCAAGGGCAGGATATTAAAATCTGGGTCAGTAAAATTGCTGTCATTTATATATATATATATATATATATGTGTGTGTTCAGACGTTAAATTGGGACAGAGCTGTCTGTTGGGAAGCCCCACCATATTCACTTTTCACTGTTATCAGGGAATATTATGACAAGCACCCACTGATATTGATATTGCTTAGGCGAGATAATGTCCATTTTGCTTCACAGTTTTTACTTGCTCCAGTGAAGTCACCTATCTTTCTGATGCAGCAACCCACTGCACTCATGGTGTCACAGACTATATAATAATATAACAGTTATTTAAATAAAATGCAACATGAACAACTGTAAACATAATGGAACAAAAAGAAGGACTATATTTCACAGAACTTGAATTTGTATTTTTCTGTCTAATTCTTTAAAGAATAGCAACAATTTCATCACTAATTTATTTACACCATTAGCTCTATCTGGATTTAGAGTAATTAAAATTGAGCAAAATATAAATAATTAATGTTTCATAGAGTTTTCCGTTTCCTGAGACCTGATTTTGTTTAATAACTGAAAATAATTGACCTGCTAATCTGCTTCCACAACCTATGAGTTAATTATACTAAATGCTATTTAAAAAGAGGCAGGCCCACTGAGTAAAGAAGCATTTCCATCAAGCTAAGCTAAACTGTGAAGCCAGCAAGCATGGTTTGAACAGAGTATCAGACCAACTCAAATAAGACAGTAGTTTGAAAGCTAATTTACTGAATTGCAAGTTGTAATAGGCTAAATATCTGCACATGATGCAATATTATATAATGTAACACCACATAATGCTTTATACATAAACTGGTTTGGGCTGGTCACATCCTTTAGCTGATTGCTAGTAGATGATGAAAAAACAAAAAACAAATGACGATAGAATTTTTATTATTCAGTTATTACATTTAATATTTTTTTTTCATATGAGGCTAAAAGAAAGTGTTTACAAATCAAAACTACAATTGCTGTTAACAAACCCCAAAGACTTCAGGGCGCAGGCGCATGCTTGATGGCTTATTGTCTCCTGTCATCTGGTTCTGATATGTAACCAATGAAAACCTACATTTCATCTGCCACATGCCGAGGTTAACCTCTATTCATGTCAACATTTTCTCCATCTTTAAATTCTGAGACATGCACAAAAGACATGCCTGTGCGATACACTGGGATACAAGCAAACGAGGAAGACGTGGAGCAAATATTCCCACAAGTTGACAAAAGTTGACACAGGCACAGATGTATTTGACAAATTCCCTGCTTTTGTGCATGTTTAAATGCGAGCCAGATGGTAGTGAACAGCGAGGCTTGGCAAGATGCCTCAATGTGTATGGAGGCTATAGGAGAGGAACACTAGAGCTGATAAGAGTGGAGGTGCAGGCTTTCTGCAGAAAGGCCTCAAATCCCTCTGTCACTCACTGTGATACAGTGATTTAATTCTTTCCAGCACCAGATCCTGCCCACGCATGGAGCACCATTAATACAGGGTGGCTTGGCTTTGTCCTGCTTCCACTTCCTACTGTATCATAAACTTACGCTCCCTGCTCGAATGAATGCTACAAAATCAGCCACTGAAAAGCTGCAGATGGAGCTACGCTAGACCTTTTACGGCCTGGGCTGTAAGCAAGACCTCAGATGTCAGATGTCAATACATCTAGTATCTAGAACTGTTTTATTCCTTTGCTATTAACAAAACTAAAACTAAATCCAGTAAGATTCAGAACCAGGTTCCTCGTGGAGGACGTCTTAGGTGGCCACAGCTGTGATGGGACAGAGCATACAGAATACAACACCCTGGTGCCATTTGACGATCGCACCACAGTGTCGTTCTCACTCTTGTGTGAGAGGGTGCAGAAGGCTCACCTGAGTCTGAGTCATCCGGGCTGACCGAGCTGAGTAAGTCTTTCTCCCTCTCGTAGTCAATCTTGCAAAGCAGCTGACCCTCCTTCAGAACAAACTCATCGCCCTTCCTCAGCTGGCGGTCGCACACGCAGCAGCAAAAGCAGTTCAGGTGGTAGACGCACTCCAGAGCACGCATCACAAACTCTGTGGGGGCGATTTTCTCCATGCAGCCGCTGCACTTGGTTGCAAACAACCTATAAAGAAATAAAAGAGAATATGGTAGGAAGTGTGGTGATTTAAACAGAACACCCAAACCGAATTTTGCTGTTCAAAGCAGCACTTGTGAAAAAGATAAAAATAACACAAGTAAAAAAACATGCATTTTCTAAATGGAGGTATTTATTGTTAAGGGGGAAAGAAAATCCAAAGCTACGCGACCCTGTGTTAAAAAAGTGATTGCCCCATAAGCCTAATAACTGGATGCAGTCAAGCATCTTTTACAGCGTTGTGCAGGAATTTTGACCCACTCTTCTTTGCAGAATCGTTGTAATTCAGCCACATTGAAGGGTTTCTGAGCATTAACCGGCTTTTTAAGGTCGTGCCACAGCACCTCAATCGGATTCAGGTTAGGGCTTAGGTCACTCCAAAGTTTTTTTTAAGCCATTCAGAGGTGGACTTGCTGGTGTGTTTTGGTTACCTTTGTCTATTATTAAAATTTGTCGGATGACCGGAAACATCTAAAGTGTGACAGATATGCAAAACACTAGGAAATCAGTAAGGGGGCAAACACTATTTCACACCACTGTATACTTATATCTGGTTTGATTATGACTGTTTCAGTATCTTGGTCCTGTGTAGTGTCCAGCTCATTTGGCCTTACAAAATATTTAACAATAGCCTGGAAGGCTTTACGACAAATTATTATTCACACTTCCATAAGCATAGTCCCATCTAGCCCGTTTTGCCAGGGAACTTCTATAAATCTCACCAAAACAAAGGCTTGAAACCAAACATAACAAATCAGGCTTCTTCAATTGGATCTTATCAAACGAATAGTTTGTCTAATCACTGCGCAAAGGACAATGAAACACAAAATGTAATCCATCCTCGGCAACACCAACATAAAAAAGAAATAGACACTGCTTTATATATCTGCCTACTTTAATTGCCAATTGTAAAGTTCTACTTCTTAACTTTTGCATTCGGTGTTAATTAGATTTTTCTGCATTGTAATCATCTTTAATTTGAATGTAATTTCTAAGCGTTGGTTTCCCTCCACCGTTCCTTATATCTTAAGATTTATTTGAAAGTATTTATGTGCCACTTCAAGTTATCTCAACAAACATAATTTAAATTCGGAAACTGAAAATATTGCAGGGACCTCTCTCACCCGACAGTAATTACGTGCACGATGAGAGTTGAAGCTATTCTTCCTCGGGGACCTGAATGTTCAACAGGTCTTACCAACTTACATCTCTGCCTATCTGCTAATTGTCCAGGGTTACAGTGTTTGCCGTGCAGCGAAAGAGGTGCCTCCTTTGGCAGCTAGTCATCTGTTAAAATTTTAGGCTGAGCCCAGCCTTGCATCATTCCAAGTGAGCTCAGTCATGGGGACTGACCCCAACCCCCTCACAAGCCTGACCAA